GCCACCATGGCTACTCAATGGCAGGGAGTCTGGTGATTATTTTATGTTTTAGAAATTGTAATAATTGCTTATTCTTTGTGATTTTTGACTTTCACATTTGTAACTGTAGAATAAGCTACAATGTGTAGTTGGAAATAATTAAAGACTGGTGGTTATTGGGGAAAAAATGGGATTTGGTTTGAGAAAAATATTGTGATAAATGCAGCTTGCTGGCTACATTCCTTCATGTATTTCATAAAACTAAAAAAAAAAAATAAACATATCAGTTTATATGTGTACATATCAACTGAATAAGCAATAGTCATGAAGTAAAACTAATCATTACAGGTTACTGCTACTGTTTCTGTTACAGTTTGCAGAACATGAAGAAAATAAACAACGTGGTGGAGCCAAATGTGTGAAAAAGGAAAAAACGTTTAAGAGCAAGACTCAAACACAAACGGTTTTCTCTTTTGACTTCTCTTGCTGGAGGGGATAATAAACCACTAGATGGCGCTGTTATTCTGCTGTTAAATATACCGTGAACGGAAACAAAGAACAGGGATGAGATCATCATTTCACACTGATGCAGCTTCAAAGTGTAACTTGCTTAAAATCTCAAACCTTCACGAACTGAGATGCATAATTTTAAATAAATGCAAAGAATTATAATATTTTCGTAAATACTCAACAGTCCCTAATTTATTTTTTAAAAATGCTATTGGGAATGTTAAATAGATGTTATAGTAACGACCAGATTTGCATAAAATACAAGGTGACAGGAGAGAAAGAACCATAAAGCTTAGAGAATCAAAACAAATACCATAGATAGAATTATTGTAAATGATGTGATATTTTGACTACAATTAAATAAATCAATACAAAGGTGATTATATTTTTTAACTAAAAGAAGATGAAATTATCAGAAAGGCAAATTACACATGAAAACAAAATATGAAATTACCTGAAACAAAGAGAAGCAACACAAGAGGCAATCAAATTTAGTTCAAAAGGGGGAAAAACATAAACAGAGGCTAAAACAGTCCATGTAACATGTTTACTTAAAACTTATTTGGACATTGAAATAGATTCTATAAAAGACAGTTTCTCTCTGTCTGATTTTACACAAAATTAAACATTTCCTGTTTTGGGTCTTTTAGGGTTTAAAAGTTATTTCTTGATAGATTGTTTTTAATTTCCTTAAGAATTTATTTTACTATCTTCAAAGTCAGAGATCTGCACACATTAAGATTACTATGCCCAGATGAATATGTTGTGGATTTGTAACCTTCTAACAAGGTACTACCCAACATTTATGTCATGTCAGGTACACCTGTAGATGCATTTTAGTGCATCACCTCAAACACATTGCTTCCTTGTGTTGTGATCCCACAGGAAAACCAAGCAAAATCTGACAAGTTAGGAAGATAACTGAGGCCTGAACTACAATTTCCAGATGCTTGAAGATGCCACATTCCTCTACTCATACGGCCATATTCCAGTACAAACACGATGGGAATGCCCACCAGTCACACAATGGCCTGAGACTGGTTCCTTGTTCTATAAATAAATGTGTTTTGGTGCAAAATGTCCCCGTGAACCCCAGAAGAAAAGCACAAATTGAAGCAAGTAAGAAGGTTTCACTATCTACTGTGAAACTAGTTCTGTACCAGTAGGCTGAAAGAAGTCAACATAAAAAGACTGATTACAGTTTTCACTCAAAGGCAAAGGCCTGGATTTTTAAAGATATGTTCCATAGTTTGAGGAAACAAAAATTAATACTAATAGTAAGAGGTAAAAGATGAAGCTTTACATGCCTGAGACAACATCCTAACTGTGAAGTATGGGTTGACAGCATTGTGATGTGAGAGTGTTTATCTGCAGGAAGAACTTGCATTTTACTATGAGAAAATATCAAAGCAAGAGCTAATGACGTAAACAAGAAAAGGTGCCAGGGTTGGGGTAAACATCCACTCCCACACCCCAAGCCTTCCTTCTTGGTTGTGCTAATGAAGAAAAACTCAATCTAGCACACATTATAGTCAAGGCCCAGGGGCCAAAACTGGCCCACAATAGCTTGTTATGTGGCCCTCTATACTCTTTAGGGCAACAGAACCTTCAAGGTTAACAGTTGTGTATTAGATATTATTTTATCAATCAAATCAAAGCAGATTTAATCTGTGCACTGTAAACTTACATCGATGTGAAGAGATGTTCAATATAATTTAAATTAAAGAAGTACTGAACGCAGGCAGCCTCTGATTAATATGCCTGCAATCTGCTAATATTTTATCAGTATTTTCTGCCACAACTGGCCCCTTGAGGACATTCATGATCTTGATATGGCCCGAGCTGTAAATAATTTTGACACCTCTGATCTAGCAGACCGAATAGAAACAAAACAGATACAAACGACCCGACTGTGAATCACCTTGCTCATAATCAGACCGTGTATCACTAAATATGGGGTGTTATGGGTCGTTTTGTCTCGATGCAAATCAGAGAACAAACTCACAGGAGTCCGTTACATAATTTCTTGGACTTCACATGAGTTCATTCAGTTATTTTCCACTCCGCTACGAGAAGCTCGCCGCCGCTGGACGCCGCGCCGCACCGCGCACGGGCCGCGAGGGCGAGCTGGAATGCATTGACGTCAGAAGGAAGCTGCTGGGCACTGCGCGTGCACGCCCAGTTCTCATTGATTTAGCCGCTGCAGAAGCGGGCACGCGGCTCTTCAGCTGGAGAGAGTCGTATCAAGAAGAAGAAGTGGAAAAGAGTGGCTCCTCCAGGAACCGACATGGAGCGCAGCGAGGGAGCAGAACGAGGAGGCGATGCCGCTCGTCTCCGCGTCTGAATTCAGCGGTGACACCGAGGCTTTGGGAGGCTGCGGAGATACGGAGCCGCTTGCAGTTATCACGGGACATTTGCGCAACAATGGTAAGTTAGCGCCGCTGCTGCTGTTGTTTGTCCGACGTTGTAGCGGAGTGATGTTGCTGCGGAGGAGCCGATGAGCTGTTCAGCCAGGATGGTGACTGTGTGCCAAGTTGGGACTGCAGTTTGAACAGCTGGCCTCAAGTCTAGCTGAAACAAACTGATGGACACTAACCCTGTTAGTGTCATTTAAAAAGGAGGCCTGTCAGTGTGAACTTGGCCCAGTGAAGCTGTTTAAAGGGGTGTTAAAGAGGCTTGCAGCTCTGCTTGATGACGCTGCAAGTGATGAAGTGCTGCTGATGATGATCAAACTGATAAAATGTATTTATTTGAAAAGGACATTTGCTTATAAAACTCAAAAAGGCTGTTATGGAAAGGCAAATTAAATAACACGAATAAGTGGTTAAATAAATTACAACTAGATTGACTAGATTCAACCAAAGGTTAAACGTAAGATAAAAACAACAGATTGCAAACTGCACATATAGAAAATAAAAAAATATATATATTTAAAACGTAACCACAAATATGCTGAACATGGAAAACATCTGGATCAGATTAAAGCAAAAGCTCTTTAAGACACAATATATGTGCTGAAAGATGCCAGATAATCACTGGAGATGCACAATTATTAATTATTACGATTATCAAATGCAAATTAACTCAAAAATAGAGGGGAATAAAGTGGGAAAGAGTACACAATTGATTCACTGCTGCATTTGTAAAGCCAAAAATCCAGTAAGAGTAACAAATGTTACAAGTGGAATGGTTTGGCATTGAGTGAAATAGTAATTTGATCCCTGAGCAAAACATGAATCTGAACTGTGTGAAGAAAGCTTCCATGATATGCACAGCAGCAAGACATTTTCCTTACTTGGTCACCAGATGTGTTTAGTCCTTAGAAGATATTTTGGTCCACTCCTCTGTATATAAACTCTCTAATTCTTTGGGTTTCTTGGCTGGAGCTTGGTAACTCAAAGCTTCAGCTCCTTCCTCAGATCTGTTGTTAGACTGAGGTCTGGAGGGGGTGTTGTAAGCCACTCCATGACCTTAATGTGGTTCTTCTGGGGCCTCTCCTTTGTTGTGCTGGTGGTACTAATTTAATTTGACTCAAACACTTTGCCTTAAACCTTCTCTGAATCAGACAGCTAATACACCTGCTCATAAGATCAAAAATAGCATAAAGATAATTAAAAATAAACAGAGATATGAATTAAGCTATAATGGAATCAAAATGACTGAACAAAACTTAAGTAAACATTTTTAAGGGAACATATTATCATGAACTAAACCTTTTAGAGTCCTTTGGAAGATAAATGAGGCCGAAACATCACAGATTGTCAACTGTACGTAGTAATGTGTTTCTTCCATATTCCTACACGGAGCAGCACCTTCAGGTCCATGTCTGTTGTCCTGGCGTAAACAAACAAAAACAATGACGTCGTTGCTCCAGATGTTGACGGTTGCGTTGATGAAGGTGGTGGTGGAGAACTCTCCACTCTGGGGATGGAGGATACAATCATGACATCACCAGGTTTAGTGTCGTCTCCTGACACAAACACATGCTCACTTGGACTTGAGCGCCGTTATACATTACGGTTTCTTGTTACAGTATTGATTCGACGTGCCATTTGTGCTTCGGATGGTGATATTTGAGACAAACTCAAGCACAAGCCCTCCAACATCAGAGACGATAACGGAATATTTCTCCCTCTGCTGCTCACATTGTGCTGTAATTCTGTAATCCGCTCTTGGCACTTAATCTAAACTTGTTCTGTCGTCTGTCTGCCATTGTTAAATGAAGTGGAACATTGGTCTACTTTTGGTCCGGTGTCTCGAGGGATGGGGCATTAACAGCAGCTGACCTCGTCTAAAGCCTTTCTCCCTTTGGGCCAGAGGCCAAAGTTGTCCTCACAGTCATTTCGTTTCATTGTTTTGTCTTTTTCTTTATCCTGCTAGGCAACCCCCCAGCATTGAGGAACTCTTGACTCAGCCAACGTCCCTCCACCCTTTTGTTTCAACCATGGACTCCTCAAGGGATTTGACCTCAGCCCTGGACGGGCCTGCGGACCCCAGAGACTTCTCCGGTCGCTCCGATCTCAGCGGCCTCTACCATCTGGGCCGGACGCTGGGAAGGGGCCACTTTGCTGTTGTGAAACTGGGCCGTCATGTCAACACGGGGCAACTGGTGGCTGTGAAGATGATCGATAAGACTAAACTGGATGTCATGGCAACAAGCCACCTCTTACAAGAAGTCAGGTGAGAATTGATCATTACGTTTTAAATTTGTAATCAACTATTCCACGAGAAACGGATTCAAGAAATATTAATGATATTGTCAAAAAAGACATGAGAGAACAAGTCTATTTGAATGCATGCTGTGCTTGTCCTAGTGAAATTAGATAAAAATAATTTATATTTTATTTGAGGATACAATGAAAAAACTGGTGATTTTGGGGAATTCAAAAATAAGATAAAATTTCACAGTGTAGAAATTCTTTATTTCAATACAATTTACCACATAGTGCTTTGATATCAATAGTTGTTGGGGAAACGCTAATTGCTTGGCTAGTGACCTGAATCAGACGATTTTCAAATTTATATTAAAATCTCTCAATAATCAGATTAAAATTTTTCCACACTGTAATCCCTCCACCCACGTCCTCATGTCTCTTTTTGTCGGAGGAAGGTCAGACTGGTGAGGCGTTTAAGCATCTTGGTGTATTTTGCACAAGTGATGGTCAGGTAGAGTGAGAAATGGAAAAATTGAGGCTTTGTCCTTTTTTTTATTGCTTCTTTAATTTGTAATGTTAAAAAGAAGAATGCAATGAAAGACAAAACTCTCGATTCACTGCATATTCGACCCTGACTGATCATTATGAATTATGAAGGGCTAAATTTATTCAGTTACTTGACTCCACTGCAGTCACCATGTTTTACATGGAGCAGTTATCACCTCCAGAGTGATGAAGGGAGACAGAAGATAATGAGAAAGAAATCGAAAAAAAAAAAAACTGTAAATGCTAGAAGTTACGGAAAGAAAAAGAAAACATAATCTGCAGTAAGCTGAATTATCTTGGCACAACAGTTTGACATCAACAGCAGTTTAAATTGATTTGATGTAAATAAATAAATAAATAAATAAATAGAGATTCATGGACAGTGGTCAGAATTTGCTTGGTTCTCTTTGATTGGTGATCAGCATGTCAGATACTGAGAAACAAAGTTTTCCTAATCAGATCTAAGACCTCCTGTTCAAAGGGAGTTGTTCCTTTCTACTGCAGCCACATACATGCTTGGTATGAGCGATTGTCTCAAAGTTAATGACACGATGCATTCATCTGTCCTCGGTGGCCATATGCTCGTTTAGGAGGGATTGCTGCAAAGTCGGTGACCCAATGCAATCAGCTGAGTTTCCTAAAATAACTAGCCTTTTTTTTTTACTAACTAGCCTGACAAACAAGCAGCATTCATGCAAGAATGACTCTTGCCTGAGGTGTTGGTCATAAAATTGGTTTTGTATAAATAAACCAAATGTAGTTTAACTGGATTAAATTAGCATGGTGCCCTTTATTTTTAGAATTTAATGACAAATCAGATAAAAATAAAGGATATTTTCATGTATACATAGTCTCACCTCCTGAGACTAAACAACAGCTGGTAACTTGAAGCTACAGACATCCAGACAATTCATTGTCATTTAGTGTTGAGAGTGGGCCGAAAAATGTGCATGCAAGTGAGCATGCACAGTTCTTTCTGTAGCATAATGTTGTGCTGTTAATAATAAAACATTCCTATTGTGAAGAAAACCGCCATCTGTCCACCTCTTTAACAAAAGGAATCACGAAAACATGACAAATCCACTCTGCAAAATGTACTTGCATATACAAAGCACTGTTGTTTACATTTACACTAGAAGCACAGTTTGTATTTCTTGAATTGCAACATAAATCAACTATTGTTGCGCATTTGTAGGTGCATGAGGCTGGTGCAGCATCCCAACGTGGTTCGGCTCTATGAAGTCATCGACACTCCCACCACGCTCTACCTGGTCATGGAGCTGGCCGAAGGCGGTGACCTCTACGATTACATCCTGCGCCACGAAGGAGGCGTGGTGGAATGCACCGCCAAGCGTCACTTTGCCCAGATTGTGCGAGCGGTGTCGTACTGCCACCAGCTGCACGTGGTGCACCGGGACCTGAAGCCGGAAAACGTGGTGTTTTTCCCCCAGCAGGGCGCCGTCAAGCTGACAGACTTTGGCTTCAGCAATTTATTCCAGCCTGGGATGATGCTGGCCACCAGCTGTGGGTCGCTGGCTTATTCTGCTCCAGAGATCCTGCTGGGAGAGGAATATGATGCTCCAGCTGTGGGTGAGAAACTCAATCGTGTTTATTTCCACTAGAGAATGTTGGATTTGGATGATTGATTGTTTTTATTGTGGGTCTAAATCATTTTTGAAACATCAAAAACGCTTTAGTTTTTGAGGCATTCTAAATGTTTGCTTTAAGAAAACATTTATTTTTTCCTGACCAAAAATTTCTGCAAACTCTGAAAACTATCTACTATTAAGCTAATTCCGCAGTCCTAGAATTGCAACTGACTCTCTTTGTAATTTTTTATTTCACTTTTGTACTCTAAAACTATTACATTTATTCAAATCTAATAGTCTTAGAGTTAATTCCTAGGCAACAAGTTGTGGACAATTCGGAAAAATGGTTTGATTGTTGTTGCAGCCAATATTTGACATATGAACTAGATGCTAATGTCAGTTCACATTTTGCAGCCCATGCAGGGCTTAAAAAAAGTGAAATAAAGCTTGACCCCCTTTATTTCAGGGGTCAGTCAACAGCCAACAAGATAAAAACAGCTTAAAAAATGATGAGTGTATGCATTCATGTATGCCCATGGTGGATTCATGAGAGTGCATTTCCAGTGCACTTAACTTATGAATGAAGTCTGCTGATTTAATTTGTCACTTATGGGAGCTGCTCAAAAACATTACAGTAAAGTAAAGAATAAAACCAGAGAGAAGGAGAGTTATTGTAGCACTTTTTGGCTTAAAAAGCTCTAGTTGTTACATTGGTATGATGGATGCAGTTGTCAGCAGCTCTAGTTCTACTAGAGCTATCTCAATAAAAGATGGCCCTCAAAAAGGCTTTTTTCCAGAGCAACTTCTCGAATTGGTAACTGTAAAAGGCTGCGTGTCCGTCTCTGCCCTCCTGACCCTGCGTGGGTATTCCTCTCGTGTTTTCGTGTTCGCTCCTCTTCGTTCACGTGCCGACGTGTGAATGCGCCGGGGTCTGAGCGCGTCTGCTGAGGATTAGTGTTTGTATTTGGGTCAGCCCGTTGTGAGCCAACCGGACTCGTTCTGCACTGCAGCCCTCCCTGCAGAGCAGGTCGCAGAGCGGAAACGGGAAGCTCTGTGCCTTTTCTGCTCGCTCTGATTGGGAAGGCTGCGCTGATTGTGGGATTTGACATTGCAGGAACAGAAGGGGAGCTGAGGGATTTGGTTTTATGTGTCCCATTTGTGGGGTTGGAGGAGGAGGAGAAGGGAGAGGCGGAGGGGGAGGGTGTCTGCCTCAGGGAGGTAGTGGTCTTATCTGCTAAGCTGGAATAGGCTGGATTTTTGTTTTGGCAGAATCTGGCCCACTTCTTTACTCTGGTTGCATCTGCACTGAATACATGCAACCCCACTGCAATTAGTGCTCTCTTGTAGAAGGACATTTGGTGCATTTAAGTTGCAAATGGGCTCCAAATGACAGCATGTGTAATTTAAGTGCTTGTGAATTGTCTGTTTTTATTTTTCCATGTGACCTTGCCCCGTGTAACAATGGGAGGGGTGATGAAGAAACGCAGCTCAACTTTCAGCACGACTCGCGAGTTGCATCAGTTCCTTTTTCCTCGGGTCGGTTCCTGTTTCTGAAGGGACGTCCTATTAAATAAATTTTTTTATTAGCTCCTCTCAAGAACATGCTCTGCTTCGTTGCAAAGGAAGTGCACTTTCTCTGCCCTATTTTCATATCGTCCAGCGTGACTCAGCCTGTCGATAACACGGCTTTGTCATCGCTTCTATAGAAACGTACTCTTCTGACTCCCTCGCTCATGAACACATATGTATTTATGGATGTAATCCTGAGCTGCACGCCGGAGGAGATGTCCCTCAGAGATGTCTCGGCTTAGTGAGATGACTCATAAACCGTCACAAACACCGCGACTGCTCTCTGTGCCGCTCTAAGCAGGCCTCCTTCACTGTACATGTGCGCTCTGTTTGATGCGTGTTTCATAAGAGGCAGAGAAAGAGGGAAGATGTTCACAAGGCGTAAAATGCAGTAATATGAGGTCGGTCCATAACTTTATACATGCAATCGACTGCAAACCTAAGAGAACTGCTGACAGAGTTGTGAAATTCTTGTAATCCTGTCACATTCTTAAAGGGATAAGTTAATTTTTTTTTATTAGGGTTGTGTTGACTACTTTTGAGTAGTCACCATCTTTTCTACATTAGACATCACTTGGAAGAATTTCAAATTGGAGCAGCTGGGACACTCCCTATGTACAGAATGAAGATAAATAGGAGAAATGTAGAACTCCCCCTAAATCAGCTGATTAGCAAATACAGCTGATTTAGCTGCTCAATTTTCTCTTAAGGGGAGTTGAAAATACTGACTGCCTGTAAATACCCCCCTCACACACAATCCTCACTTTGAAAAGTTCAAACTTTGCCATTTTTAAAATGGCAAAATCTGAGCAGTGGGATGAACCGAGTCTGACAGTTTGCGTCCTCAGACTCAGCTCCTCGGGTTAAAGTCTTTGCAAGTGTGAAAACACCTCATGACATCCTCTTAGCTCGCTGCCACAACACATGCACCTCTCATTTCTTTCTTGTTTTGTGGAAGCTGAAGGTCGGTTGCGAGGGGCACATGGAAAGCCCCCTGCACTCAGATCCTGTTATAGATCAGGAAAGAGCAGCACAGCCGGAGAGGCATTTTCTTCTTTTTTTTTTTTTTGTAACAAAACCCCTTTGTGTTTTCACATCAACCTGAAGGCTGGTGATTTGTTTATACCAACAATTAATGTTCCAGTGCTTGGAAAGGACACGATCTTCACAGCAACACAGTATAATAATAACAAAAAGAAAAAGTTAGCTTTGTAACAAAATCTACAAACAGAATTTTTTTACTACTCAGCATGTCCTGATGTTTTGTCTTATGTTCGCTTTGCACTAATTTGGAACGTGGACATAAGACAAGGATTTTCAAGAACTAAAGCTCGTCTTTCACAAGCTAATCAGATGAAATATTTATTTTAAGATGCAATAATCACCACAGTCGACCTCAGTATTACCCCTCAGCTGGTCACAATTATTAACAGTTCACATGTTCCCTCATGTCTCTTTATTCTCTTTAAAGAAGCTTAAAAGTCATCAGTTATCACATGTGGCGACGTCAGGACGACTATATGCACCTCAATAAAAGAGAACATTGTTGAAAATAACTTTTAACTAATGAAATATTTCCATCATTTATTCTTGTTGACCTTGATGATTACATCAAATGAAAACTGTAAAATTCAGTTCGTTAGAACTGAACTTACACAATACATTACCATTTTTAAAAAAAATTTTTTCAAAGAAAAGTCAACCTCGTGTCAAGTATATCCACATACTTTACAGTTTACAGCCTATGGTTTTGCTGAGGTGCAAAGGAAGCTCAGATTACTTTAACAACGACCTTCAGCTTGTCTGCGTTGTTGGTTCTGGTCTCTGTGACCTCGACAGTACGCCACAGTTCCTGCTGGGGCGTCAAGATTAAGAATGGAAGGGCGAAGGACCGGGCGTGGCAGAATGCATTGATAAAACTACCTATTAACAAACTGTTAAGATACTAAGACTTGTAAGCCATAGTCCTCGAAATGTACCTACAAAAACACTTCACCTATATCACTGCTTTTAATTATTCTCTATATTTTGAATTTAACGTTTTAATTATGCTCATTACTTTCACCCACATGCCATGTATACAGTGGTAAAAATTGCAGAAAACTAACTGATGTCACTATGCAACTGTTATATTTTATACAACAAAGCATTGTTGGCTTTTGAGCTTTTCCATATAAAATATATTTCACAAATAATTTTGCCTCTACAATGTAGATATTCTGACTAGAACCTATACTTGTCAC